CTGTGTGTGTGTGTGTGTGTGTGTGTGTGTGTGTGTGTGTGTGTGTGTGTGTGTGGGTGGGTGGGTGGAGGGGGGGGGGGGGAGATGCCTCACTCTAATATTTGGATTTCCCTGTAAATCCAGAAGACTTTTATTTCTGTAACATAACTGGTTTAAGTTGTCTTTATTCATATAAAAGATGATCAGAGTAAATCAAGAATATAGTATGCATTATCAAGTGTTAAGAGGCATACAATGAAGCTTAGACCTTGATCTTTTCCTCTCTTTTTCTAATTACCATGTTTATGACTGCATTCCCACAGATTTTTAGATCGATCTCTCCCCCAGGGGAGTCTCACTAGATTGGTGTCAGCATAACCGACTTAAATGTATGTCCCGCCTACTAAAAGCTGTAAGGGGATAATTAACTATAGCGCACGCTCAGCTGACAGCAATTTAGCGTGAACCCCCAGGGAGTTAGGTTGATCCAGATGGATCGATCTAAATTTGTGGGAATGCAGTCTAGGTCTAATGCAAATTGTATGCTTGAAACTTCTCCGTTACCTCTCCTAATTCCTGTGATGGTGGGTTTTCCGGTGTAGAGGGACTATTTTTCTGTGCAGCTGCTTGCGCTAGAATCTGCCTCACTTTCTCTTCCGCATCTTCTTTGGACGCCATATTGATCCTCTTGTTTTTCAGATGGTGTGGTGTGTCTCTCCTTCTGAGGCGGTGATCTTTGTCTGGTACTTCATCTGCGTCAGGCAGGAAAGCGACGTGTCTTTCTGTGAACTCATCAGAATCATCCTAGCAGAAAAAGAGACAGTGATCACATTTTGTTTGACATGAAAATTATTTCAATTATAAAAAAAATACACTGGATCTTGTAATGTAAAAAAGACAATCAATACAAGCATCAATGAGTATTCTTTAATCAAATCTTTTGGCAAGACTAACTAAATATTATTATGAAAAATTCAACAATTTAAGTTTGCTGCAATTTTAGTGAAAAAAAAAACTATAAACACTCACATCATCTCTCCTCTCTGTAGCATCTGTCTGATCTTCTTCCTCCTCGGCCTCCGCCATTTCTGTGTCCTGTGGTATGACAGTTGTTACCTGGGTTACCGTGACAACCTTGGGGGATGGCTGGGGTGGTTCATGCACCTTTGGAGGTGGAGAGACCTCTACAACCTACAGACAGAATTAAAATAAAAAGACGATTCCTCAATCTAGAGCATAAGAGTAAATGGCCTCTACAACCTACAGAAAAAATGAAAATAAAAAGACAATTCCTCAATCTAGAGCATAAGAGTAAATGGCCTCTACAACCTACAGAGAGAATGAAAATAAAAAGACAATTCCTCAATCTAGAGCATATAAGAGTAAATGGCCTCTATAACCTACAGAGAGAATAAAAAAATAAAGACAATTCCTCAATCTAGAGCATAAGAGTAAATGGCCTCTATAACCTACAGACAGAATGAAAAAAAAAGACAATTCCTCAATCTAGAGCATAAGAGTAAATGGCCCCTATAACCTACAGACAGAATGAAAAAAAAAGACAATTCCTCAATCTAGAGCATAAGAGTAAATGGCCTCTACAACCTACAGAGAGAATGAAAATAAAAAGACGATTCCTCAATCTAGAGCATAAGAGTAAATGGCCTCTACAACCTACAGAGAGAATAAAAAAATAAAGACAATTCCTCAATCTAGAGCATATAAGAGTAAATGGCCTCTATAACCTACAGAGAGAATAAAAATAAAAATAAAAAGACGACTCCTCAATCTGGTGCATATAAAAGACAATTCCTCAATCTAGAGCATATAAAAGACAATTCCTCAATCTAGAGCATATAAAAGACAATTCCTCAATCTGGTGCATATAAAAGACAATTCCTCAATCTAGAGCATAATCAAATTAAATTCACATAAAGTCCACCCACAGGCACACACCCATGCACATTATATAGAAAATTACTATTAGACCCCATTTCCAGAGATTAGACCCATCTACTTTAGATCGACCTAACTCCCTGGGGGTTCATGCTAAATAGCTGTCAACCGAGCGGACACGAAAGTTAATTACCCCCTTACAGCTTGTAGTAGGCGGGACGGACATGCCAGATTATCTGACAGTAATCTAGTGAGACTCCCTGCGGGAATAGATCGATCTAAAAGCTCTGGGAATTCGGCATAAAATACTAAATATATTCTACTTTGGCTAAAAGATAAAATATTTCACCAATATGTATTAAATTTATCACTGATTTAGTTCAGATCTGCCATAATATGACCAACATTTTATTGAAAAGGATTTCTAACCTGTTCTTCTTTAAAGTTTGTAATAGAAGAAAATTAACTATCATACCTTGGGTTTTTCTGCTGGAACATGTTCTGTGGGAGAGCTTGGTTTCTCCTCCGTGAAGATCACCTTTTTATCCTCCTTGTGGTAAGTGGGGGATGCATCTTTCTTCTCGTATTTGTGTTCAGTTTTCAGCGGAGGTGGAATGGGCATGGCAACTTAAAAATAAGACATCAAAATAAATTACAAAATGTTATGGGAGGCCACTTTCTGATATTTGTGTAAAGGTTCCATCGAAGGTGGAATAGGTATGGCAAGGAATATGAATACATCAGATAAGGTGTTAAAAAGATGTCTTGGTGGAGTTCGGTTTTCAGCAGAGAAAGAGTGGACATGGTAATGGCAAAGCATCAAAAACATGCTTTAAGATCATGATATTAGTATGAAGATGATAATTACTCATAAATTTTCAAACACTTCACTTATTCTTAAAACACTTGTTTTCTTGAATAAAAATAAAAGTCCATAAAAAATGTATGTATGGACCCAAATCAACAATTTTTAGGTATTACAAACAAATGTTTATCAGTGATCCAAAGAGCTCATATCAAACTAAAATTGACAGAAATCCAATTCATTATGTTCACAAGCCACTTAGTTCAGAGGGTTATTTTTCGACTATAAAAGAAAGAGAAAAACAAAATGGCCCAATTCACCTTTTGTGGGCTTGGTTGGGGATTTCACAGTAGGGCGTGGAGCCTCAAATTCCTCCTCAGTCCAAGATACCGTCGAGTCACGCTGCGGGACAAAAGACCCCTCCTTTTTCTTGTCCTCTCCCTTCGGAATGATATGACCGTCTATCTTGCCTTTCACGGTGACAGCCTCAAACAGTTTGGCGTGGCGTGCCTTCAAGTCCTTCGGGTGAGGCGTGTTGTGACGTACAAAATGGCTCTGCAATTGTTGATCAAAATATTGTTTATTATCGTCTATTTACATTGCTGTCATATATGGAGCTTTATTTTTATACCACAACATGGCTCTCTCAAAAACTGATTAGATAGTGAAGTTATTCACCTCATCAAGTCCTTTAACACATACCATGGTTAAATGTGCATGAGAGACACATTTATGAATTTATTATTCTTTTAAATGTTATTTATCTTATTCATTTATTAGAATAATTACTAGTATATGTATTAATTGTAATAAATATATTAATAATAAACAAATAAATAAATACAATATGAATCTGAAACATAAGCCATGTCATTCCTGTTTTGAAAGAGGTGCATTATTTAAGTTAATTTGTCAAAGTGCACCAAAATAATAAACAAATAAATAAATACAATATGAATCTGAAACATAAGCCATGCCGTTCCTGTTTTAAAAGAGGTGCATTATTTAAGTTAATTTGTCAAAGTGCACCAAAATCATAGTTCATAACTATAGACCAGATTTTGGGTCACAGCTCTATTGTGTCGCTGTTCCAAGGACTTTTTCCCTATCAAAATGGTGTCTGACTGCAACCTGACAAGTCTAATTTGCGTAATTAATATTCCAAATTTGTTCAGTCGGAACAGTAATGGAGTTGATTGAAATCTGATGAGGATTCATTGCTTCTCCATATTGCGCAATTTCTACAAGGCATGACTGTTCTGCAGCTAGCCTTAATCTCCTTTATGTATGGCAGTAATATCATCCCTTTCACATTAATATCTACATATCCATTATCTTCTTATTACGTGTATCTTTTTTCTACTTAACGATATTACTCTATTCCAGAGGCTTGTCATTTTTCTCATCCAAGCTTCCCTATTCTAAGATGTCAACATACTTTCCTGACAGGAATAAGGCAATGTTTGTACGTTGAAGCAATGGTGCATTGTCTACGAGTATGGGTCTATAAAATGATGCCTAAATAATAAAATTTGGTTGTTTTTCCCAGGCAAAGCTTTTATGATTTATCTAATAATCAAGAAGTTTTATTTTTCATTTTTGCCTATTTCTGGCTTGAGAAAGTGTTCATTTGTAGCAGAAACATTTAAAATCCAAGATAGTCACCATTTTGTTTACAGGATTTGTGTTGCAGTCACTTCCATTACTTTTTTTTAAGTTTTCAGATTGTTATGATCTGAAGCAGTTGTAATAACTTATTTGTTTACAACCTAGAGAGAATTTGCAAAAAAATTCTTTGTAATTTTGGGATCCCCCAAACTGGATCTATCATAAATGAAAACTTTCTGACTGTATTTGTTATTAGTTTAATACACTTACCTCAGAGTCATCATCTTCTTCCTCTGGTTCTTCCTCGCTACTCTCTCCTGCAAAGCGCACGCTGTCGCGTGTTTTCTCCATCCAGCTGAGGCTTCGGTCATCTTCAGTCTGGACGCTGCCCTTCAACAGGTTCTCTGCAATGGTCAGTTTATAATCAAACAACTATTTTTTCACAAAATATGGATCCATAGACAGAAATAACTTATTGAATTTGAACAAAATGAATGTACAATTATTTTCTCTTCACCAGTGTTTTTTTAGTAATACAAAGAATAACTGATTCAATATTTCTGAAAAGTTGTTAGGCTTCATGTTGTCTTTAAAGCCATTTCTTATATCTCAAATTTTAATATCTATGGTTACAATTGAAATTCACCGGACTCCATGGCTATTATGGGAGACACTCAAAAGCACATTCATAGATCACAATTTCGTCAAAGTTTCTGGATAATTGTTGAAATTTCCATGAAAGATAATTTTTTCCATATAAAAATCTAATGTCTGGATGTGGTTTCCATTTGGACTGTGCAACACTCACCCATGCTTTCAGTGTGATAAGCCTGTTGGGGCAACAAGAAACACGTTAGCACTTTCTGTCCCGTGACCTCATCCACGTCTGTCTGGAACTTCAACATGGGCTGAGCTTGATTCTCTGACATCCATATTGCCTTCAGATTACACTGTGCTATGGTGATGGGAAGATACTCTAATCTGAAAGGTCAAGGTCAGGTCAAAAGGTCAAGGTAAGATCAAGGTCACGTGGACAAAGAAAGATTGATTGGTCTGTTGCTAAACACCATCTGTAGCCATTAATATAATCTATTTCAATAATTTTACACTGTTCAGTTTAAGTGTGGGTTTTCGTGAATGGAAAAGAGCATATTTTCCCTTCTTCAGTCATTTTACCATTTACACAAATACCAAGAAATGGGCGTTTACAAAAAAGTATAAACAGTAAAACATAACTTCCCCACTTTATAAATAACTGGTCTGCTTAATAAAATCAACAAACCTTAGCAAAACATTTCTTACTACTTATTATTATATATTTCATACCATTTTATTATATACTTTCTTATTACACACTGTAGAATTACTCACCGATTTCCAGATACATCTAGTACATGCAGGTCTTTAAGGTTTCCTATTTCCTGTGGCAGACGACCCACTCTGTTATCTCTCATGGATAAAACCCCTAGTTTTGAACACCTGCCCACCTGGGAAATGGTCACATGGATGTTACATACGTGATCAGGCTCACTTACAGACATGAATTTTGGGTTGTACAAAAAAGAATGAAGGACACTTGGTGATATTATGACCAGGGTTTTGGGGCTGGACCAAGTAAAATAATTGTAGTATTTAAAGAAAATTCAAGAATATCTGACTTAACATGAAAAAATGTTTCTTCTCTGTAATTTTAGCCAAATATGTGGCAAAATTAAATTGAAAAGAAAATGTAAAATAATAATGTGCTCCAACACTGTCAATAGTCAAAATTCAAAAATAAATAAATAAATAAATAAATAAATAAATAAATAAATAAACATGTTTCTAATTTATTAAGGGTTTTGACCTTAAAACTCACCTCTTTGGGCATCTCCGTCAACCTATTCCTGTCAACGTTGAGATTCGTTAAATTCTTCAACTTTCCCAATGAAAGTGGAAGTTCCTAAAATAAGGAATGACAGAGTAAATTAAAACTGACGATGTCTTGGTAGGAATGAAACAAACAAGCAACAAAATTAACTTTTGAGCATGCTGGACTTTACCCGAAAATTGTCTTTGCCATATTGTTGTCATTTGGAAGGAAAAAACTATTATACCTAATTTTGGTGTCTGCATCAAATATGATAAAAGAGAGACTGATGTATTGAGACAGAAACTGCTGCAATTATCCAATGATCAAAGCATAAATGCAGCTTGGATATGTTTAAACCAATAATGTGAATAACTTTTTCTTCAACAGCACTTACCAAAAATGATTTCAAATCAAACAATAAAATCATCACTTACTGATAAAAGATTTTCTGTTAAAATAAGTTCTTGTAAACTCTCACAACTGCAAAAGAAAAAGAAAGGTACATAAATAATCACATTCTGACTTAAGATTCTACATTAGACATATCAAGTCTAATATTACCATCCTGAAGAAAGCTTAAAGGTAAGCAAAGCACTTCGGACATTAATAAAATTTGCTGTTAACAGTGTCACTTGTGAACGAGCACTAGATGAGAAACTGCGTTAGTTGTCACAATACAATGGGCGTGACAGTTAACTTACTTTAAAGTTTGGTTGGTGAATGTAATTATCTTCTGTGACAAGATGTATAAGCATTATGAATGTGTTTTCTGTTGCATTGTGTTAGGTGTGAAAATATGTCAGCAATATTAATGTTTTTGTTGCATTGTGTTGGGTGTGAAAATATGTCAGCATTATATATATCTGTGGTGACTTTTCACATGCTGCAGTGTTACACTGACTATCATTTGTATCATCCCTATTTTTCTACTTACTTTCCAATTTGTGTTGTGAGTACTAAAAGCCTATTCTGGTCAACTTTGAGGATTGACAATTTCTTCAAGCGACCTAGAAATAAATAAGGTCAATCTGATTAATATAACAATAATGATTTTGTGTGCACATCAAAATTACACTTATATTTTTCTACCCTATTTGCCAACATTATTCCTGTATTGAAACTAAATATCAATAAAAGCAGACATTGTTTTATCATCTGGAAAATGAAATCAAAATAATCCGTCCGACCAATCAGGCACATTATTGGAATTCATTATCATTCAGACCAACAAAAGAAAATGCTTCAAGGTTCAGTTCTGTAGAAAATAGGCCAGCATCGCCTAATTGATATCATCTCAGCATAATAACTCAGTATGTAACCTAATCTATTCTCTCTTACATCCTTCCTATTGAAACACCAAGGTTATATGTAAGTCTCATATATATATATTCACAGAATAAATCATCATTATCTCCACCAAGAATGCAATACTATGTTTTTGCAATCATTAGTCAACAGCCTTCCTCACGAAGTAATGAAAGGATATTGCAAAAAAAAATTTCAGGGCATGTCAGAAGTGGGCTGACTTAGAAATGATTAGTCTAAGGTAGCTATCTATTTATTCATTAATTGATAATGAGAATTGATGGGCCTTGGGTGGAGGTTTAGGGACCATTCCCAGAACTTCTCATACTAACTGTGGATCGATATATCTCCAAGGCGATTCTTGCTAAATTGCAATCAACTTAAGCAGCTTAGATGTCTGTCACCCCTACTGAAGCTGCTAGGGGGTAATAAATTATCGTTAAGCAGCTTCAGTAGGCGTGCCAGACACCTTAGCTACTTAAGCTGAATGCAATATTTAGCAAGAAAATCCTTGGGGATGGATTGATCCTGTTAGATCGATCTAGGTATGGGAACCCAGTCTAGCGTAACAATCCATTCATTAATTGGTAATGAGAAATGACAGGCATTGGGTGGAGGTCTAGCCTCTCTGTTTGCCTTTTTAGTTATTATCACTATTACTACTACCACATCCCACCAGCTTGTAGGTACGGTAGTGACTGGATCTTTTCAATAGGCTAAAATCATCAAGCTGCCTTCAACTTTGCAAGGAGTGCTGTCAAAACACACGCCCTCAAAGGCCCAGCTCTGAATCGTGTTCTTTTGGTAAAGTGGAATTCAACTAAGGCATGAGCCGACCACCCCCAACACATATTTTTAAAATCTACACAAACATTATCCTATAATATAGCATTTGTGGTGCTTTTGCTGCATAGAGCACTTATTTTAGCCCGATTTTTTATTCTGTTGCTACCACTCAATAGGAATGCTTTAATTTTAATAAATTATGACTTTAAAATACAGTATCTGTAAAATTCACAATTTTCCCCTATTGAAAAAATCAAGTAATCACCGTATATGGACAGCAAACATAACCAAACAGTCTACTGAAATTGGTCACAGTTAGGTCTGCCCATCTCCAATGTGAACTCGTCTTAAGACGTAAATGCTGGCTGCTTACCTAAAAAACTTCTTTATCTCAAAGATGGACATACAGATTCCTGGGCAGGGACAACACTTTCTTGTACTCAATTTAACAGTAACTTGCTCTCATAAACAGATTCTTGGCAATATGTTAAAGGGATAATAACTCTTAGTATGAGGTATATATTTCACAATAAAAACATTGTGAATAACTCACAGAAATATAATATATTCTGTTTTACGACAAAAACAGCAGTTATAGCTATTATTCTGATATCTGAGCTTTTCTTCAGACCACGTGACCTCCATTGATGGCTATGCTCTGTTAAAATCTCTTAAGAGATTTTAACAAAAAACCAAACTTTTTAGAAAAAAAACAGGGACTAACTTTGAATGTAAAAATGGATTCATTAACCATTGGTAAGCATGGGAAAATTGTTGTTTACTCCAGGAAAATTCATTTTTTGGCCAAAACGAAGAGTTATTATCCCTTTAACATACTGAGGCATAGGGAATGTATAAAACTGTTCACATCTTCTAAATTTAACAGCAACTTACTGTCATATACAGATTCCTGGCAATATGTTAAGGCACTGGGGCAAAAGGATGGATAACAATGTTTAATTCTACTAATTTTAACAGCATGTTGCTGTCGTATACATATTCTAGGCACTAAGTTAAAGCACTGGAGCAAAAAAGAGTGGATAACATTTCATTTCTGCTTAATTCAGCTGAATACAGATTCAAATACAGCTTCCCGGCCAGACAAGAGGCAGTGAGTATATCTCCATCTCTCTGCTGTTTTACTGTCCACAAATGTCATGCTAAATCTCTGATAAATGAAATAATCATTTCATTTTCTCCCTCCGTGCCTTCGGGATTGTTTATCATGGCTTCGCTTGAAAATGGAGCTCGGAGTACAGCACAATAGACTACAGAGGCCGAAAATTCAATTTTCAAGTCCCAATTTGTGGGGGGGTTTAGATTCCAATGTAATTATGACCTATCTTCAGTTTGGATACAGCTTGGACACTATATTATCAGACTGCTGCAATGCTTCAATAAAACAAAAGTACAATTTCAACAACAAACATCTTAGTTAGATATAAGTTTCAAAATAAATAAAAAATAAATAAATAAATAAAAATAAAGATGTTCTTAAATTCTTCATTTATTATAGGATTTCTATACGTAAAAAAATTCTGCATGAAAAAATCTTCTGTATTTGACCCATCAAACTTCAGTGTAATCTCAGGCCTTGGTGCATTATTTCCAATTCTGATGTACTAGCTCAGTCTACATGCTCTAAATGTGGTGCTTTCTTGTCCATATGATGCAATAATCAACCACAAAATAAGCCTTATTTTCATGAAAAAAAAATGCCCCAGTGACATTTAGGCATCATGTGGTGCACAGAGAGATACAATAGGTTTTCAATGATCGAAATGCTTTTTATAGACGGACAAAAAACAGGCTGACTGAAATATCACTAGTTTATTCCTCGTTACAAGTTTTTCATGAGGACAATGCGGTGTTTTGAAAAGGTAAACTACAGCTAACCCCGGGGTTGTCTTATTCTGAATATACGAACAATGCTGAAGTGCATGCACGCAACCCGAGTTAACCAAAAGAATAGGCCATTTTTGTCGATTCATTTTGGGTAGGCAAATTGAAAAATAGATGCATAAAAAAAACAGCCAAGGCTAGCTTGGGGGAGTTTACAGTTTAGTTGTAACGGTCTAATATTGTTCCATCTCTGCACAGTACATGGATATGGTTAATGTCAAGAAAAGACAACAGGATTGTTCACCCATTCGGTTTTATAGATCTTTATGTTTAAATTAAATGAGTATTTATCACATGTAACCAACTGCACAGACCATGTTGGTAAAAAAAATATCTGAAGGTATAATCCTTGGGTGATACCTAAAATAACCCTACAGCTGATGCACTAGTTATTTTCTGTAGGTAAAATAAATTTTACTTAAAGTTAGAAAGCCCTTGGCAACACCTTAATAACCCTACAGGTAACGGACTACTTATTTTCTCACATGAAAAACTTGTTTTGTAACATAGCGTTATCTCCAGTATAACACTAAAAGCAAAAAAGCAATAAAAAAGTTGAATATCATGTCATATAAAAAGCTTGGCTTACACACCATGTACCTTCTTTCTCCCTCCAAAGAAATCTTATCAATATTACTATCAAACATTTACAACTGCCATAAAACTCATCAATGCCACATCTCAAGATGCAAAAGAAAACCTTTTCAATTCATGTTTATTAAAGTATTTACCACCCAGAATAAGAAAATAACAAAAATAACTTCCAGAAAGTATGTTAAGCATCATTACGTAATGATGTGCTCCTTCCCACAAATGCCATCTATGTTTTTTCTTAAAAGAAAACACGTTTTCACCACATAAAGATGCCTTGATGGTTCAGGTAAAGAGCATCCCATTACTTTTACCACAAACTGATCTAACATCTCAGGTAAGGCTCTCAAGTTAATCTCAACATCAGGTAAAAATCGAATCGTCTCTCATGCACTATTTTTTTTCTATTACTTCAAGGAATTCTTTTTTTTTTCTTTTTTATCACTTTGGGAGGAGTACATGCCCATCAACAAATCAGAGCTGAATGTTTTTTATTTCTTTTTTTCTGTCAAAACTGGTATCAAGTTGGATAAAACTCAATGGGGAGAGCTCTCTTACACCCATCAAATAGTCCCTGAAGCGTATCTCCCTTTAACTTAAAGGGATCTTTTCTTCCTTTTTTTCTTTTAACTTTGGGAGGAACACTTACCTATTAACAACAAATTCAAGTGAAAAGTTTGTTTTTTCTGTCGAAACTGATCTCAACTTGGATAAAACTCAAATGGGGTGAGCAGTTACTCACCAATTCCTTCTGGTAAATTCTCTAAACAGTTCTGGGATAAAAACAAGTCGGTAAGATTCTGCAGGCCTCCTATTTCCTCAGGTAAAAACTCCAGTTTGTTCTCAGAAACATCCAGCTGAGTCAGTTTCTTCAACTGTCCAATTTCCTGTTGAAAATAAAAATGACTAAATAAATATTTGATTAATAAGAAGAACATCACCTACGTTGAAGATATATAATATAATGGCAGTTGACTTATAAATTTATAGCAAAAATACAGAAGATTGGAGAATCCTTCTGTACTGAAAGCTGGTCAAGTTCCTACGAAGTTAAGGTTTAATTTTTAAAAATCTTTATTATTATTATTATTGTTATTATTATTAGGATTATTATTATATTTATTATCATATTCATTATCATAAATATTATCAAAATCTTTTGTTTTCATTGTGCTTAAAAATGTCATGGTGATACATTCCAACAGCCAACGAAATATTTTATAAGAAAAAAAAAAAAAAACATCCATGTACAAATATGCAAACTGTGGTTGTATTCGTGTAAAACCCAAAGGAGACCAAATTACCAAATTTCTCAGTCTATTCGATCAGTGTGTCCTCTTAATTCAATCCCACCAGCGCAAAAAAAGACAGGGGGAGATAGAAAACATCCACAACATTTAGGGTAAATAAGAAATTATCCAATAATAACCAATCTATTTGGTCTGAGCTTGGCATACTCACAAAGCCGAAACTCCAGACAACAACCTACGAGATCAGGAGTGGCCCCACAGGACAAATGATGTTCCGACGTGGTACGGATATAAATAGGAAGTCCCTACTGATATGAAATATCAATACAATAGTCATCTCAGAACAGAGCCCATTAACAGACGTGCCCCCTGAGACCCTGGGGTTCCTAGACAGGGCTGTTTTACCAGGGGTTCAGCCAGGCCAGTATTGAGGATGGCTATGGCCGCATTCAGAACTGTGGACAATGGCGACCCACTAAAAACCATGCCATCTAGTAATAAACACTGAATAGATCCCCCGTGGGGAAGTATTCAAGTGGGTCGGCCATATTTGACCCGCTGACTAGTAAGTTCACTGTTCTGAATACGGCCTTTATTACTGAAAATTGCTCTTCAACAGAATTTTACCACAAAAACTTTCACTGTCTCTAACAGTCTCTCACTGTTTAGGTTGGCCCCACTAAAAATGCCAGTAAAATTTAAAACGGGGTAGTAAAATCTTGTAATTTGTTCAGTCTACTGGTCTTTGTTTCTGATTTGGTCAGAAGATTTTCAGACCCTTAAATATCCATGGACAAATAGTTTTTTTTTTTTTTTTTTTTGCACAGATAGATCTTTCACATCTGTTAGTTTTCAAGACACACGCATCCTCCTAGAGACATGAAATTTGTATTCTACTGTGATCACTGAATCTTGTTTCTTGTTCTTAAAAATGTTCACACTGATAAAACAAACAAAAAAACAAATAATCACCCTACATTAATTGCCTAAATTGAATTTTATTGATTAAAGGCATATATTATACCTCCATTTCACGTCAATTTTTTTTCTCGAAAGTTCACTTAACGAAAATGACAGGTCAACAGAAGGTGGCTGATGATCCAGGTCAGGGTTAATTAGAATTTCATTTTTGCTTTCTTCAAAGAGTTGTACTTCTTATTATAAATAAATAACTGAGAGGTACAACTTGATCATGTTATGCTGTTGGAATAGTTGGATTATGGTGAGAAGATTCCTGCTCAGAAACCTATCAGAACTGGTAATTTCACAACATATTTAGACACACTGAAAATTGATTGCTTTACAAATGCTACCTTTTAGAGAGAAGTCTAAGACTTCTTGAGATTTCATCACAAAGGAATTATCCATTGTATATTTGGTAAGCTTGGCTTCTTATCTCCTAGTCACCTTCAATGCTAGCTCAACAGGAAAGCCTGAAACTTTTTGCCATCCAAGATAACAATCAAAATTTTTGCAGTCAAGTACTTGTTAGCAGTCGGTCAGTAACAAAGCAATACAACGTTTGGAATTCATTTTCCATTGAAACGACAAGTATTAAGTATTTAGCCTGTCATTAAGGAAGACAATACCCCGACCTGACATTATTCATTTTTCATCTTTATCTAAAAGACCACAGAGAAATTTGTCTAGTCTTCAGTTTTCTAGGCTGATCAGAAAGACAAAATCGATAATTTGCCTCTTTTGAATCATTTCAAACTGTGGAGAAACCTTTGTCAGCACGTTTATAAAGAGGACTGGAGCTCCTTAGGTAAAGATTATTGAATATTTCGTGACGGATTTCAGACTTATCATGAATAAATAAATAAATAAACTATTTAATCAATAAGTAAGGATTTTAGGCCGCATTCACATCGAGAAGAGCCGAGGCTCTACAAAGCCGAGAACTAAATATGGCGTACGTACATGAAAGAGACTTTACATAGACAAAGAATTTAACATTACAATTTATTATCATCATTATACTAATATTATTATTGTTGTTGTTGTCGCTATTATTATTATTATTATTATTATTATTATTATTATTATTATTATTATTATCACACTTACAGGTGGGAGGTCCAGCAGCTCATTGCAGTCCAGCCACAATTCTTGAAGATTTGGAAGAGTTCCAATATTTTCAGGCTGAAATGGGAAAACAAAACAGGATTAAATTTTTAATTTATAAAAAATATTTACCCCATCAAAATACATAAATGAATATCTTCTAGCCAAATTACAGTTCAAAACCTAAATCTATATTTCTAAAAATTAATTTAAAAACTGGTTTGGATGGAAGTCATTTATGGATGTTGGTTGATTTTATTGAGCCATTACCATAAATATATATGTAGAACACCATCCCTTAGGTAATATTAAAACACTGAATACAAACAAATGGGAAACTTGAAAGAAGTCTCTATGAATATATGTATCTGTATTGCTCACAAAAATATTATGATAACAGTTTCCCAGACAGCCTCAGTGATCTGGCCCACGTCTGGCCCAGATCTGGCAACGTCTGGCAATGTCTGGCAAAAGGTATGGCCCACGTATGGCTTGCCACATGTGGGCCAGATGTGGCAATGTTTGGGCCAGATCTGGCCCAGACATTGCCACATCTGGCCCAGTCCACATTTGCTCATATGGCCAGATGTCGGCCCAGATCTGGCAATATCTGGCAAATGTATGGCATGCCAGATGTGGGCCAGATGTGGGCCAGATCATATTCAAATGGGCCAGATTAGGGCCAGACATGGACCACATATGGCCCAGAATGTTTTTTTTTCTTTTTTTTTATTATTTTTAATTATTCAATAAGATTACTATAAAAAAGACATACAAGATTCAAGATTCAAGTATTTATTCTGTGCTAAAACCCTAAACAAAATTATTACACATTATATAACCTTGCTGGCAACTAACATGTAACAAATTAAGGGTCACTCCTTGTCTTTTTGTACAAAACAATGTATATTTGAAAAAAAAAAA